ATATATATATATATATATATATATATATATATATATAATTTCATATCTGCAGGGCTCTGCAGTACAGTACTAGAGTATTGTACTTGGTTGCTATAGAAACATAGGGTTTCAATTATTCCACTGTGTCTAAAACAATAAGAGCCCCAGAGCATATTTAGCATGCTGAATGCAAAGTTACAACTTGAATCCATGGAAACATATGGTTATGAAGACAGTGAAGGATAGATTACCAGGACCCTAACTGGATCAAGTACTTTCTTCTTTCTGGCACAATGTTCAATTTCCAGAGAAGTACACTTAAGATTGGAAGTGTGGGGCTTTTTTCATTGGGTATCTTATGCTGCTGTCCCTCTGAAATCCTCAGATCTTCTGCAACATAGAGTCTTGATTCTTTCAAAGCACAAAGTCCAGGTCCACATTTTATCCCTATTGCTAGTAAAAGGGTTGGGCAAATAAATAAATAAATACATGAAAAGCAATGGGGATGCCTTTCAAGAAGATGTATGACATGAGTAGAAATTCAGCTTGAAGAGAGGTTAATAGTGCCAGTTACCTTAAATCCAGGGTGGGCAACTGCTGCAGGTATAGAAACACACAGATTGCCCAGAAAAGCAAACCAGTAATCCTAAAAATGGTTGGGAGTTCCCTTTTGGTTTTTCAAAAGACAGGGTTTGTTTAATGTTAAACAGTACAGGTGACCCTGCAGCCTATTTAAAAGGTGAATTGATTCTTCTGGAGGCTTCCAAAAGAGGGAATTCACCTGTTCTTTGCCAGAAAAAAAAATGGACAGGCTGTGGAGGGGTCAGGGCTGCAAAAAAATAGCTTGGATAGTTGCATGCAATCCTAGGACCACCCTTTGCTTATCCCTCTGTTAGAGAAATGTTCTTTTGGCAGAAAATGGTTGGCCATAGCTAATTGAATATTTCAGTGCTTGCTTTTGGGTGAACCAAAGTGGAGGGACTTGGGACTCTTCAAATGTTCTTGGATGGCAAATCTCAGAAGTCCTACCTGGTATAGCAAATGATGAAGTAACAGGATGGTCAAACATCTCGAGTCCGGCACATCTGGAGGGCCACAAGTTGCCCATCCCTGGTTGCAACCTGAGGCCTGAATCTGTTTGTTCAATCCGACTGTAGCAGACACATATAAAAGCCAACAGTTATGTGGGTTCCAGTCATATGATGAGTCTGCTGTAGTGGATTAGACCTTGGGCTCCCAAGTTCTTGTCTTTAATTTGGAGAAAAAACAATTTGCCATTCTCCAGATGTTTCAGACCACAATTCCCATATATGCCGATCAGCTTCGTCAATGGCCAATGATAATAGGAGCTGCTGCAGTCCAAAACATTAATATGTTTTCCTGCATTAAATTTGTTGGAAGCAAAGAGGCATTGATGCTTGAGGGAAAGGATTCTAGAGAGCATGCCTGCCTTTTTGTTTCACCTCTTTCTTTGATCTATGTACTCCAGTCTTTTGTTTCCTTCCTGCCTGCCTTCTTCCTTTGCCCAAAAAGTTAGAATAGCCCTTTATCTGGGAAGGGAGCATCCATGAGGCCCCTGCCTCATGATGGACCCTTGCCAACATCCACACATGAGATCCAGCCTTAGGGGCTCTTATATTGAAGTTTAGGTACCGTATTTTCCGGCGTATAAGATGACCCCCCCCCCATTTTTCCAGTCAAAATATAGAGTTTTAGCACCTCTATCCTCATTATCCTTATATCCGGCGTATAAGACGACCCCCCCCCACTTTAGCCACAGATTTTGCAGGTAAAAAAGTAGTCTTATACGCAGGAAAATAAGGTAATCTTTCTTTCCTATTCTAAGATGGATTTCCTAAAACATACATACATATATTTACATACATACATATGTATGTTTTTTTTCCTAAAACAATAAATGACACTTTTTCTTTTCTTTTCTTTTCTTTTTTTACTTTACAAGAGCATCCTGAGTATTTTCTCTTGTTCCTACCACAAGCTCATATTGTGCTAACTTTGCTGCACTCTGCTTAATATAGATACCAAATATTCCTACAGCACTGCTTGTCCACTAGAGATTTGCAATCCATGTAAGTGAGACATGAGAGCCAATTTTGTTAAGACCATATCCAACTTATCTTTGCTGATCAGTACCAAACTGTAAGGAAATGATTATCCAAAGACCACATCAACACGGTGTATGTTTGAGCAGTTGGGTACAATTCTAGCACCTGACGCACAGACGTCGTTCATCTATGGGAGGCCGCTGAACTGGCTGTTGAATCTTTCTTCAGCACTAATAGTAGGACAGTGCCCCTGACCACATTGGAAGGTAGTAGTTTGAAGAGACACAGGGCGTGCTGTATGAGACATGACTCTCTCCTCCAAGACTTTGCTGCCATGTTCTAGCATTTGCAACCTGTAGTAATTACATCAGTTGACCTAATGGTAGAGCTGGCCTTATTCAAGCAGTCTTCATGTGCCAGGAGCTTCTGTTCATATTGCTTCAACTGCCTTTCTACATAGGTAATAAAGTCAGGGAGGGGAGTGTTGACCGAGGAAGATCTCAAGGCAAGATCCATTTGCATCTCCTACATCCTTGTCCCAAATTTTGACTGTATGCCAAAGTGTTGAGCCTAGGAGTCCAAGCAGCAACAATTGTTGTGCCATTAAGTCATCTCTGACTTGTGGCAAACCTGAGATGAACCTATCCCCAGGATTTTTTCATCAAGTTTCTTCAGAGGGGGGGTTGCCATTGCCATCCTCTGAGGCCGAGAGAATATGACTCACCCATGGTCCACCCAGTGAGGGTTCCATGGCCAAGGGAGGATTTGAACCCTGGCCTACAGAGTCATAGTCCAGTACTCAAACCCCCACGTCATACTGCAACAATGCTATGTATCAAGTGTATTCTCTCCATAATATTTAAGCATTAGTTTTTTCATAATAGGTGAGCAGGAATTGCATGCAGGAGAGTAAGTGGCCAGGTGGAGGAGAGAGATAGTAGACTATTAGAAGAAGAAGACTGCTTCCTCCACAACCAACATAGAAATGCACCCTGGTGGGCTCTTTAAAGAAAAACTTAAAAGGCTGGTTTAATTATCCTTGAAAGGAGTGGATATGCATTTGTAATGGAAAGTGTAATGGGGTGCATTTTCCTCTGCTGTTGCCTTAAATGTGTTTAACCAGGAGAATAGGGAATGTGCCTTTCCCCTTTTTGGAACTGAGATGGGAAATCTTAGTTTCACGGTCAGTTTCACTTCTATACAAATGTTTAAACTTCACATTCTTTCCATCCCAAATATATGATTGATGGATTTTGGCAAATTCTTTAAAAATGAACTGAATTCCCCCCCCCCTCCCACTTTGCACTAATCGAGAAGGTACTGCAACATGGAAAGAGCAATGGCCATACTGGCTAGGACTAATGGGAGTTGCAGTTCAACAAGAGCTCCATGTTCCCCTTGACATAATTATTAGATAGAAGTCTCATCCTCACCCTGGTAACAGAGCCACCTCTGCAGCAGACATGTAAACCTTCATGGTTTTTTGTCCTCTTAGACAAGAATAAATAATTCCTCTAGTATATTTCTGCTCATTGGGTAAGAACACAAACATTTATTCGCAATTCCCATTCACAGTTTGGGAGGTCTTTTTTTTTTCCCCTTTCGGAAATACATATTGTTTTTCTGCATCTAAAACATATACATCCTGCAGAGGGAACAGTGTTTTCTGGGGAAAACAATGTTTTTGGTACAAAATGCACGCTTAGGAAACACAGAAAACATGTTCTGTGAGCAGAAAGACCCAACATATTTTTTTTCAACAGACAAAATAGCGCTGTGGAGCACCAAAAATCTCCCTGCAAATTTTGGCTTGCCTTGCCTCTTCCAAAATGTTTTCTGAAGCATTGGGAAACCCCACTTGGCCATGAAACAAGTGATGAATATTCATTCCATTCCCATTCTGCATTTAGTGTTCCTGGGTGGCTTCTGAATCATGCTTGTTTTGTAAGATGAAATGTCCCTGTTGCTTACATTTTCTTGGATGCCATGCTCTCTAGTTTAGAATCTCTGACCTCCAGCATGTGCATGGGAATGTTGTAAGGATGACTTATTGAATGAACAACCTTCCTTCTAAATGAAACCTTGCTTCTTCTTCCTCATCCATGAAACTGTGAAAATCTTAGCACAGTAAAACATGCATAGAGTAAAGCTAGGTGCAAGTGTTGTTTGGCTCACCTTGAATAAGAATTGTGCAAAAGTGTAAGTTTATTCGTGAACATGACTGGGCAAAAGTGAGATTAAAGACATTTGAGCGTGACAGAAGGTGAAACTGACAAGTTTTCCTTTGCTGAAGCAGAGGACTTTGAGTGCAAGTGTGGTTGCAAATTGCTGAATATTCAATGGTGCTGAATAAGTGGCTGCAGTAACTGGGGACTTCTATAAATTGTGGTCCAAACTCATAACTTTTCAAAGCCTTGCATGGTTCTTTCTGTGCTGAGAATAGCTGTTTCTGTTAAATTTGTTCAATGCAGATGGTTGAAAACTTCATTCCATCCATTTTGGGCTAAGGAATTATTAAACTTGGCAAACTCTTTCATAAATAGGCAGGAAGATGCTTGGGATTTTAAAGGACTGAATATGGGAAAAGTCATGCATCCAGATTGTAGTGATGGCTGAGCAATTATGATTTCAGGAATTTGAGCTGGTGCCTGACATTAGTAAGATCTTTTCTTTCTGAAAATGGACAAGTGGTCCTAGAGAAACTGTCCTAGCACATTTTTAAAAAGGGTATTCCTCTTTTTTAAAAAAGCATATTTGTGACAAACCTACTCAGAATTCTTCTGGGTTCTTTTTAAAATCTTCTAGATGATAAAGATTTAAAATTGGTTGTTAATTTAAAGATGCTTACATTTCAATAGGTTTGTTTTGGAGTGTGTCCCTTTTTGATAAAGAGCCAGTGTGATGTAGTGGCTTGAATGTTGAACTTGCACTCTAGAGATCAGGGTTCAAATCCCCACTCAGCCAAGTAAAATTACTGGGTTACCTTGGATGAGTCACACACTCTCAGCCCTAGACAACCCAGTGATAGGTTCGCCTTAGCATCGCCATAAGTTGGAAACAACTTAAAGGCAAACAACAACAAATGGGTATGTCACTGAATCTTATACCAAACGTGAAATAATTTACTCTGCATATCTTATGACACAAATATATTAATGAAGAATTAAAAGTAAAAAGCAAAACTAAAAGTGACATGTAAAAAGTGTACCTCTTAGGGGAAAAGTGTGACTCAGCAACTGCTGGCAGATGTCTTCAGTGGAGCTTGAGAAAGCTGCTATGGAAACATGAAACATGACAGAGGTCTTATTATAATCTTTCTTTCTTTCTTTCTTTCTTTCTCTCTCTCTCTCTTCTTTTTGCAGTGGATGTGGTCCGATGCTTAAACGGTGCCCTCCAGGTGGGATGTGGTGCTTTTGCTTGCCTGGAAAACTCCACATGTGACACAGGCGGCATGTACGACATCTGTAAATCCTTTCTGTACAGTGCTGCTAAATTTGACACTCAGGTACAGTATGAACTTCTTTTCCTTTTGCTTGCTGCTTCCTTGTTGATGGGTCGGGAAAGCACAGGAAAACAGTACAGGAGAGAGCAAAACACAGTATTTGTGCTTTGAGTGCAAATCAAGGCAAGTACTGTGCTTTGCTTTATTGACCCATCCTTTCAGTCCCACCAACTCCAGGTAGATTTGCTCAAGTTCTGTTTTTGATTGCAAATGTCAGTTTGATGGGATACTCAGCCTGGTCTGTCAGAATGCTCTGGTACCTCACCAAAGTACAAATCCAAGGATTCTTGGTCTTATTTTTCTAGAGAGAATGGAGTTCCTCCAACGTCTGCTTCTGATTGTGTAGTCTGTCTGATTTCTTTAAGGACCGTACAGACAGTCCCTAAGGGGCGGCTCTGTGCCGCCCCTGGGAGCGCTGGATCAGGGCCACGGCAACCACATGCCACGGCCCCAATCCAGCCTTTTGCCACTCCAAAAAGAGCTGGCAAATGCCACTCCTTTTGGGGGTGGCAAAAAGCTGCCCTTAGCGCTGGCGCCACAGTTCTTTTGTGCCCCTTTGGTGCAGGGTGTCTACACTCTGCGCCAACAGGGTGCCCTGATGCTGCACACATGCAGTCAGGTGCGTGGCATGATGACGGAGTTGGGGTGGCCAGCGTGCGGTCACCCCGCCCCAACTCCACCCCCAGGCCAGGCCTTTTGGCTGGTCTCCATAGGCCCTATATTAGCCATCAGGTGATGTTCATACAGCTCTTTGTTGGGTTGATTGAAGAATGTTTTTGTGATGAACAAACTATTGGCCTCTCAGAATTCAGTCAGGCACTCTCCTGCTTCATTTCTTGATCTTAGGCCAAATTTTCCTACAAACTTTGTTTCTACTGTTCCCCACTTTTGCATTCCAATCGCCTATAATTACTGACATGTCCTGTTTTGGTGTGTGATCAATTTCCTCCAGCACTGAATCTTTCTGTTTCTTCTTCTTCTTCTTCTTCTTCTTCTGTAGTTGAAGCATAAACTTGGATTATGCTATTCGTAGGTTTTCCCTGAAGTCTTACTGATAATATTCTGTCAGACTTTGAATTATATCCTTTGATTGCTGTTGCTACATCTCTCCTCACTGGAAATGGTGTCCCATTTCATCTTAGATCTTCATTTTCTGAGTAAAACATTGGAGATTATTACACGTCTTAAAGTCCCAGTTTACCTCTCCTGAATTCAAGTCTAATTTGGGCTGGATCTGGATCCTATTGCATGGCTTCCCCCTCCCCCCCCCCCAAAAAAAACACCACCATCCAAGTACAGCCAGGCTCCAATGCAGCTCCCTTAACTCGCTCTGGTAGCCATTTTTCAAAAGCCAGAAGCTTCCAACTTTTGAATAATGGCCACAAAGTGAGTTAAGTGAACTGGGCTGCACTCGGGCTGTATTCGAATGGAGGATTTGGTGACAAAGGCCATGCGATAGGACTCAGATGCAGCCCAAATTTTACTTGAATTTGGGAGAGGTAAGTTGCATTTATATCCTTGTGTGATAATCTCCATTGTGTAATTATTTTACTGAAAATGTTCTATTCCTGTTTGTATCCACTTTAGCTCACTCATCCCAAGTACTGCAATGTTTATATACTCCATTTCTTCTTTTACAATGTTTAGCTTCCTCTCATTTGTGTTTCTCACATTCTGTATTCCTATAATACGTGTTGTGCAGCTTCAGACTTTCTTTTCACTTCTGAGCATGGCAACAGCTGAATGTCCTTTTGCTTGAGTCCATTTGCATCATTAGCCACAGCGCTACTTGCAGTTGTCCTCTGTACAGTAGTTCATTGAGTACTTTTCAAATTGGGAGTGTCATCTTCTAGCACTATCTCATGTCATTTTGGATTGTCTCATCATAGGGTTTGTGTTGTAAAAGACATTCATAAGGAGTTTACCATGCCTCCTTTTGTGCAGTATTAACAAGTGAACATTAAAGTCTTCATCTGATAATGAAAAGACTATAGACATAGCACTCAGCAAACTTCTCTGGGGTGTATCACAAAAACATCCTCAACTGGATTTGTGTGATAAAAGTGAAGGAGTGACAGTTGCGTGGTCCTGCTAGGCTGCTCCAACTCCCATCATCCTTAGCCAATGTTGAGGAATCCTGGAAGTTGCATTTCAACAATATATGGAGGGCCACACAGTTCCCATTCTTGCATTATCACCTAAGAGGGCTTCAAATTTTTATACTCTTTTGTGGTGTCTTTAAGAAAAAATCATTGTGAAGACTTACGGTGGCCTTTTTGGTTCAAAGCTTTTTGCTGTGAGCATGGCAGCAATTGTTCTGTGACAATGCATTTTCCAACTACTGTACATGAAGACTTCTCTGCTGATGCTTTGTGGGGTGGAGAAGGAAATTTCCCTTTCAAGAGGAAGCAAGTGTTCTTTCCTACAGCCACTCCTGCTCCAGATTTTGTGAGAGTTGGAAAACTCTTATTGCTAGCTGAGCAGAGCCAGATCAGCCCAAAGTAACCTGTACCTTAGGGTTTAGAAATTTGGCATCTAGCCCACCTACAGCACAGGCCAAGTCAGCCGTTGTGTATATATATGTGTGTGTGTGTTTATGTTTATGCCTTCCAGGTAATCTATTGATCCCATGAATTTCGTAGGATTGTGTTTTTTAGGCTGTCCTTGACTCTGGGCAAAATGAAGTGCAGAGCTCAGAAAAGTCTTGTTTTATTTTGAACTACAGCACCTAGAATTGCCCAAAGGAGAATCCTTGGAGTTGAAGTCCAAAAAGTAAAAATGATGTGACCTTTCCTACATGATCAGGAGTACATTTGCACACTTAAAGCTTGTGTGCCTGCTGTACCCAGTACTGGAGATGTCTGACCTTGCTGTGACATATGTCTCATTTACATCCAATTCTGGGTTATTGTAGTGCAGTCTACCTGGGCCAGTTTTTGAAAAATGCACAAAAAGTTTAGTTGGCTGAAGAAGCTCTAACCAGGCTGTAACTGGAGCTGGCTCCATGATGCATACAATTCCCTTGTGGCAACAGTTCCATTGACTGCTGGTCTTCCAGGCACAATTCAAAGTATTTGTTATGACCTGTAAAGACCTATAGAAGTTTGGTCCAAGTATCTGAAGGACCATATCTCCCTGTACAAATCAGCCTGAGCTCTAGGATCTTTGGGGGAGATCTTTGCTTAGTCCCACCACCTTCCCAAAAATGGTTCATGAATATAAGGGAGAGGGACTTCCAGTTAGCTGCTCCTATTCCAACAGATCTTTAAGAATTAGATACATTGGGTTTTTAATGGTGTGTGTGGTTGTTTTTTATATGTTGGTGTTGTTGTTAACTGCCTTCAAGTCGATTCCAACTCATGATGACCCTCTGGATGAGACACCTCCAAGACTCCCTATCTTCCACTGCTCTGCTTAAATCCTGCAAATTCATAGCCATGACCTTAATAGAGTCCATCCTCTCTTTCTACATCCCTCAACCTTTCATAGCATTATTGTCTTTTCTAATGAATTTTGTCTTATCATGATGTGGCCAAAGTATGACAGCCTCAGTTTAGTCATCTTGGCTTCCAGGGAGATTTACAGGGAAATGTAATGGGCACAGCATTCCATCGAAGGGGAAGCTGTGCCTTTTGAGCTTGTGTCTGTTATGCCACTTTTGATAAGGTATGAAATTATGAGTGTTTGCATGAGCCAGAAAGGTGAGCTCTCACTTGTATGTGGAAGATCAGCCTATCTCATCCAAAATTGTTGTATTGTGCCTTCAAGTCATGTCAAACTTATGGCAACCCTATCATGGGTTTTTCTTGGCAAGATTTGTTCAGAGGAGGTTTGTCATTGCCTTTCCCTGAGGCTGAGAGTGTGTGACTTATGCCAAGGTTATGTGTTCCTTATTAAAACATATTATTAACAGTAGAAAAACAATTATATCAGCTGTGAGGTCACTGCAAAGGGAGGTTAAAGCCCTCCCATTCTTTCTCCCCCCCCCCCC